GCGGTTCATCGCAGCCTTGCTTTGCTCCCCATCAAAAATGCTCCCCCATCTTTCCTGGCTTCATTGCGTTTGGATCACTGCATCCTGCCTGCCACGGGGTATTTCGGCATACGCCATCACTTGCTGGGAATAACTTGGCCGCCGGACAGTGAGGGCAGCAAACACAATAGTGACCATGACCTCGTTACATGCAGATGTTGTACCACTGAGAGACTTTGCCACTTTGAAGCCTGGCTGTTCTTCTCTGGGGTGTGCATCTACCAGGAGACACAGCAGCAGTGTCACCGGCAAATGCTGCGTGTTTTAATTCTTAAAAAAAATCTTGAACTTCCATGTTCCTCTTTCCCCTTCAAAATCTGCTTTCCTTTGCAATGGATGGTGTTAGCTGTGTCATTGCTTTGTACTTATAACCTCAGCGTTCCTTTGAGTTTCTCTGAAGTGAATGATGTGTCTATTGGCGCTGTTGAGTTTCTTCAGTTTTCCTTACAAGCAGCAGCAAGCGGAGGCTTTCTCAGAGCCGTACCTGGCTGTGTTTAGAAGAACGAGGACAGGAAAACAGTCCCTAATGCATTACAGTTTAACACTAGCAGTGATGCTCTTTAGCCAGGGGTGGTCTTTTCCCACACATTTAACCAGTATTGTTCCGATCTGAAGTGTGCAGCATCACGACTCCATCCCTCGCGTGGTGTGCAGAGCAGGAATTGTAACAGAGCAGAGAAGCTTTCACTGTGCTGTGGAGAGCAGACACGGACTCAATAGACCGTAAAGCTTTGAACGTCAAAGTAATAATGTCTTCACTATGCACTACAGAAGAGAAAACCAGGATTTAGGGCCAGACTCCATGCTCAGTTCTCTTGGGGGATAGAGGAGTTATACGAGACAGACGCTGCCATGAGGTCTGCTGCCCAACAAGCTTTTCAGGACCCTGGATTCCTTCCCATTTAACTTCTTTTACAAATCCAGTAAGGTTTCTGTTGGCACAGGCTAGTTCTTTACTCTTGCTGGTACACTGTGGGATGGAAAGCTCAGTGCCAGGGGACAACCCACCTAAGCATAAAACTTAATTGCAGATTAACTCATTTGGAGCTTTCACACTCTTCCGTATATGACTCTAAGTGATGATTTTTTTTTTTATTTTATTTTTTGCTTCTCACAACTGCATGCATTTGAGCATGTCTGAAGTCATGTTAAATAAACCATTCTGAGAAGGAAGTAAAGCCAGATGTTTCTGCTGAATCACTGTCATTGTCCTTATTTTTATATCCCTTTCCCAAGCCCAGTCCACGTTTGTGCAGCACCCATCCCTCACCCCTAAACCCTGACCTGGGGTCCCTACAAGTGATAACACCAAATAGACACTGTGCATTAGCAGTGAACAACCTTCATGCACACCACCCACACAAAAAAATCCTCTTCCTAGAGCCTTGGAGTGAGGACATCACTTGGCCAGGATGTCACTACGGCTCTGACCTGCCC